TTGGTCCTCTCTGCTCTGGTGGGCGTGGCTACTGTGCTCTTCTGGTTTATGATGTCAGATCGACAAGTGGATGAGACAAAAACGGATATCAAAGATTGTGACATATCTTGGAGTTTTAGTCTGTAAAGATAAAAATATATACGATCTAAATTTAAATACAAATGTACATACAATTATCAATAAAATCAACAAGTAGGCTATAATTTGTTTCATATTGTTTAATCGTATTATTCTCATCATAGACTCTTGTTAATGGTTTATATATTTTATATAAATTGTATTTAGATGTCAGATCTGAGTAGATTAAATATTATATTGCAATCTGTGATGGTTTGTTGACATCTAGCGCTGAGTTTAAGGAACTGCAGATACATTTGACATCGTTAGGTATGATGCTTTTTGGGCATCACGAGGAAAAGCTATATAAGCTACATGTGAACCAAAAATAGAGTCTAATAAAGTGACAAAAAGAAATAATAACGTATTTCAAACATCTAAGATCAAACTAAATGACAGTGATATAATGAACACAGTATGTTTAGATTTGTACGTTTCTAATTTAATTAACAAAAATATTCGATATTGTATTATTGTATTTTTTTTGCAATCATTTAATGCAGAAATTAAATATTTGATGTTTTGCATGTCACATGACCATTAACCAACATCAGAGACCGTTGATCATGTGAATGTGTGGTTTAATTAGTGAAATTAACTTACCATAGGCTATGTGTGTAGTTCAGTATGGATGTGTTGAAGGTGTTTACTGAAAACAAACTTATTTTTATCAATTAGTTGAGTTGTTTTGATTTTGTTTAGTTTACAATGAAGTACTAAAACTGAAAAAAAGACAATATGTATATATATATATATACTAAAAATGTAACTAAAATTAAAATTAAAACAAATTAAAAATCAAACTTAATTCAAAATATACATCACAACTATAATCGTATACTAAAGATATTAAAATACCACTGGTTCATGCTTACCAAGCAGTCTTTTCACTGAAAAATAGTTCGCTTAAATAATGATCATTTATAACATCCAAACAGTTTATTTAAAACAGCACTCTTAATTTTTTTTCACATTCTGTTATTAAAAGCAACAGTAAAAATGACTTACAATGCAAACATGCAAATAAAGTGCAAAAGTGACAACCAGATTCATAAACTATGACAGTATTTTTCCAATTCATTTTCTCCATAAGGATTTCAAATTCTAATGAGCTCTAATGAACCAAATAAACCAGCTCCACGCTGAATCACAATCATACAAACTTTGTTTTGAAGCAAAACAATGTGTATGAATTATTATACACTTTGCACATTGTAGTATGCAAATACAGTACACTGATGTGGTGTGCATGACAAATCAATTAAAAACTGACAGTACAATATGTGCAGCGCAGATCTTCTTCACATGGAATTTGTCCATTTAATACATTTTGTAAATGTAATATCGAAGTAATGTTGACATGCCCTGGGAACTCATGGAAGGTTTGTCTTAAAGGTTTATACACTTTTATATCTGTGTAAATTCAGGGTTAAATGCTGATTTGAGTGTTTCCATCTTATTGTCACAAAGCATTTATTTTATGAATTTATCAAGACACTTAATGCTAAAATAGGTTATTGTTAAACTGAATACAAATAATGTATAAAGAAAGTTTTACAGTGAATAAGTGTCACCTAGTGGTTTCATCACAACGAGTTTCTTTCAGAAGCTTCACTCCAGAAACACTCAACCGCTATTTGATCTGCTGAGAACATCTCAACCTTCAAGAATCAGCTAAAAGCACATCACTTCCACAAGCACTTCACTAACCCATAACCATAAACCAAGGCACGTATTACAATAAGCATGCTAAATGATAAACATAATATTATTCCAGGTTTATAAGCTGCAGTTACTATGTAATATTAGTAATGTTCTGATCTAAATGTCCTAAATTATATGTGCTTCTAGTAACAGGTAGGTTATTATTTGCACAACATGTAAAAAGTGCTTTATGATTAGTAAGTAAGTACTTTAGTACAGCTCAACAGCTAAAGCTGAAGTGTGGGAATAATGTTGCAGATCCATGAACCATGGGATCCTCTCGGATAGCGTGACCTTTTCCCATCTGTAGGGAAAGAGTACAGAGAGAGGAATGAACCGTTGTTACAGTTACAGGAAGTCAGCAGACCTGTCATCAGCCAGTGATTAAGAGTCAGTCTGAAATCTCTATCACCCATCTGAATGATTTTGATGTAAACGCCATTCAGTCAGTGAAAAGACTAGTGGATGAATACAAATGTATTGTTTTTTCATCATAAGTGAAAATGAAGCGACCTGACATAGTATGGTGACCCATACTTGGAATTAGTGCTCTGCATTTAACCCATCCAAAGTGCACACACACACCATGAACACACGCCCGAAGCAGTGGGCAGCCATTTATGCACCCGGGGAGCAGTTGGGGGTTCGGTGGGCACCTCAGTCGTGGTATTGAAGGTGGGAGAGAGCGCTGTACATTCACTCCCCCCACCTACAATCCCTGCTGGTACGAGACTCAAACCCACAACCTTTGGGTTACGAGTCCGACTCTCTAAACATTAGGCCATGACTTCGACGATAAGAGCAGAATATCTGAATAAATGACATGTATCAAGCCACATCACACACATACAAACACACATCTGCAGTGAAATCAAGCATAGCTGAGAATCTCACAATGCTAGTAGGCTACAGTGTTTTACCTCATCCTTGGACTTTTGACAGATGCCCGAGCTTATTTTTCACCTTGTCTCCTTTTAAAAATAATCACACACAGACAATTAAACACTAACTTTGCACAATAAAGACAACATTTTCCTCTATAATAGCTGTTATAATAGCATTTTCCTCTATAATAGCTGTTTGTAATACTTGCCCTTTGTAAAGCTCCCTCATTAAAGCACAACAGTCGATAGCGCCACGAAAAACAGTCACGCGTATTCCTGAAGGCGGACCTGAATCTGAAACACAAGAGGTTTTACAGTCCATTCCCTTTCGAATGGGAACTTGCACTGCGCTCCCTAGAGGACAGTAAAGGATTACCAGTGTGCCAGAGATATCTGACACTTGGGGACTCGCACAACTTATGCATGATATGTTTGGGAGAAGAACATGCATGTGTTCAGCTCTTGAGGGGGCTAGGCAGGGTAGGTGATTTGGTTCAAAAACAGTTTTTTGTTATGCTTGTTGAAAATCTCTTCACATCCTGATGGCAATCACCCAGTTAAGTGGTCTAAATATATTTATATTGTCTGTGAAAATCGTAGGACCATAAAATGTTCATCCAATCATATCCCTTGTTCCGAGGACTGCGATAGGCTGTTCTACCTGCCCGTCAATGTATGCATTTGCATACCTGGTCGCGCAGACATGATACGTCATCAGCGCGTTCCATTACGCTATCGCAGACTGAGCGAGAATGGAAGGCGTTATTATTGTAATATTACGTGCTTTGTACTGTAAAGTTTTCTCACCGGTGAATGAAACATGAGGTAATCTGACAGTGTTGCATTCAACCTTCCACCAACGCCGTCTGCCATTGTTCATATGTTTTGGAGGAGGCGTGGCTTTGGAGAGTGATTTGCAGGGAGGGTGGGATCTTATGCTTTCAAAGCTAGCTTGCTATTGCCAGCCTTTCCGAAATGACCTACCCTATATATTTAAGAAGCTCAGTTCGCATTTGTCCCTCTTCTCAAAGAAAAAGGGGCAAACGCTGGAGCCCCCCGGCTCGGAACCTGCTAAAGCCAAGGCTCAGCGGAAACTGCACTCATGGAGATTAAAAAGGGCTTAAACCTTTCTTACTCTTTAGTCACCAACTCAAGTGAACTGCTAGATCAACTGAGCCTTCTCAGTCTGTCTTTTATTTAGAGAGTCAGACTTGTAACCCAAAGGTTGTGGGTTTGAGTCTCGTACCGGCAGGGATTGTAGGTGGGGGGAGTGAATGTACAGCGCTCTCCTCCACCTTCAATACCACGACTGAGGTGCCCTTGAGCAAGGCACTGAACCCCCAACTGCTCCCCGGGCACCGCAGCATAAATGGCTGCCCACTGCTCTGGGTGTGTGTTCACTGCTGTGTGTGTGCACACTTTGGATGGGAGCCTTCAGATAGTGCAGAGCACTAATTCCGAGTATGGGTCACCATACTTGCCCACATGTCATGTCACTTTTTTTCACTTTTGTGCAAACACCATAATGGGTTCTCTGCCTCTCTATGCTATTTCTATGCATTTTTTTGTTTTTGTTTTGCTATTTCTATGGATGTGCGATTCAGACAAAGAAGAGGATGACGTGTTATACAGGGCGCCTGAATGGCATTATCGCGTAATGCTCTTTATACACCCTGTCGCACCTGCAGTGACGTCACAGGCTGTTGCTGGCCAAAGTCACCATCACTGCAGCATTTGGATACGCACTTCAGACACTGGTCAAAAAGTCAATAAAGCCATTAAAACATTAAATTTACTGTCAGTTTCTCAAATTCTAATGACTAAATGATACTCACCAGTGACAGTGACACCGAAGCTCCTAATGATGCTGAATCTGCTGCTGTTGATCTGTAGTTGATAGAGTCCAGAGTCTGCGGTTCTGGTGTTTGTGATGATCAGAGATCCAGTCTGATTTACCTCCAGTGTGTTTCTGAATCTCTTTTCACACTGATCATCTGCACAGATCTTACACTGATCTTCAGTGATTTCAGCGATGAGAGTATCATTAAAATACCATCTCATCGAATCATTTGGGTTTTTCATTACACCAGAAGCTAAAGTAACAGATTCTCCCTCCTTCACACATATTTCATCTCGTTCAGGAGCAGAAACACCTGAAACACAAACCAACAGCTGCTGAAGGATCGTTTGGGGGTGAAAAGTAACAAACTAATTATGCATATTAATTTCCAGAGAAATTCAGGAGAAACCAAATTGCTAAATATCAAGTTAATTGTGGATATGTCTTTGTTTATATAGAAGTAATTCTGTTCTGTTGAATGATGCAGGTAAAGGGAAAAACAGCTCTGAATGTCACACAGAAGAACCATTTTTGGTTCCACAACGAACCATTCAGTCAAAGGTTCTTTAAAGAACCATCTCTTTCTTACCTTTTTATAATCTGAAGAACCTTTTGTCGCCCCAAAGAACCTTTTGTGAAACAGAAAGGTTCTTCAGATGTTAAAGGTTCTTTATGGAACCATTTAGACAAAAAGGTTCTTCTGTGGCATCGTGAAGCACCTTTATTTTTAAGAGTGTAATTGATTTAAACATGAATAACCTGCTTTTAAACATAATGACTCACCAATGACAGTAACACTGAAGATCGTTTCACTCTCACTGCCTTTGATGATCTCTAGTTTATATTCTCCAGAGTCTGTGGTTCTGGTGTTTGTGATGTTCAGAGATCCAGTCTGATGATCCAGCTTCAGTCTGTCTCTGAATCTCTCAGTACCTGAATTACACTGAACATCTGTACAGCTATTACTGAGATCTCCTTTAATGTAAGCGATGCGAATGTCATTAAAATACCAATGAATCTTTTCTTGTTGGTTTAAGCTAACATTAGTGTGTAGAGTGACTGAATCTCCCTCCGTCACTGACACTGAGACTCCATCTGAACCAGACACACCTAGAAAAGAAATCAACAGATAATCATAAATGTCTAGGGAAAGTGGGACAAAGATATACAAAAATACAGCAGGAAAGTGCTGTAAAAATGTTTTTCTACAGATCAAACGAACAGCATAAAAACATCACCAATTCACACAACAGATTTCAACCTAGTTTTGTGATTTTTACCATTCCCCTTTTGCCTTTGTGTCTGTATGTACACTTAAACAAGCACTGTCTCACTCATCCTGTAATTGAAATAATATAAATGTAATATATGGCATATTTGTGTAGCTAAACAACAAATTGAGAACAGTTATACAGTAAATTAAGACAAAGAAACTCAAGTTTGGTTAAACTGATTTGCATTTACAACAACAACCTGACCTTAATTTAGTATTAAAATATTACTTAAGCCATTCCACCAAATGGGTGCCATTTGCTTGTTGTAACCAAATTAAGCTCAGGCGCTGAAGAGACCACATGGGTGGGACCCTTCGTGGGTGTTTACTGTCAGACATTTCCTTGATAATTTGCCAGTGCATGACTCATAGGTCAGTTTATTTTCTTCCCCCTTCATGTGCTCTCTCTTCTTTCCAATATCATAAGGCATCCTCTTGTGTCCACAATTTTCTTTTATAGCCTATGCATTGCCAGAACATTTCTTAATGTCTTGCAGCCTCACAGACATCTAGAGTTGCCGGTTTGGGGATTTTATCACCAAATTAAGAAACTTCCTCATTATTGATGCGACTTTTATCAATGTTTTGAGACAAGGAGTTATTTTGGCAAAATTTGATGATTTTTTAAAATAAGGCAGACATTAGGCTACATAACATTTTCTCTCTTCTCTCGTTTTCATTTCATGTGTGAATATAGCTGAAATCACAGCACTACCGTTATCTTTAGCTTATGGTGATTTTGTCAGATGATCTCTTGTTCATAAATCTGGATTTTAGCAGAGCAGAGCATGGAAGTGACTGGATATCGTCTTAATGGATCATGTTGTGTGACAAAAGAAACACAAAAAATACATAGATGAGAACAGTTTTCCTGGGAGTTTGGCTGTGTTAAAATAGGAATAGACTATAAAATGAAAAGAATATGGCTTGATGCATATGCTAATGCTTTGGCTAATTTTGATTGAAGGCATTTGGCAACACTGCAGACAACCTCATGGTACATCTTTCTCTTGCAGCCAAGGAACTCTGAACCTCTTCTATCACAGGTAAGAACACATTAACACGGCAATCACATAGTGATACCTAGTGGTCACCAGGGTTAATAATTAAATGTTAAACAACACAAATATCCTTTATGCATTTAATTCCATTCTATTAACCAATGTCTTCGCTTTTGACCTTCGATGATCCAGTACAACTGTACTAATAAGCACAAATTACTCTAGACAAACATCTGTGTGTCTTTGTTTATTGCTGAAATGTGTTGTTTTTTTAAATTGTTAAATATGTTTGTCTGATAATATGTGTTAATAAATCATAAGAAATAAACAAATAAATGTCCTACCGTGCCAAAGAAAGGCAGAAACTGCAAACAAACCAATGAAAAACATTTTAGTCCCCATGTTTCCTCTCAAACGTGCTTCGGTAGGCTACTTTGGATGAATGGAGCAGCATTGCTGTACTACGGGAGGTGTGTGTCGCTGTCAGACACTAAGCAATCTCAGCCTGTCACGCCCACTGACCGTTGGCTGAAAGTCTGATGCATAAGACACACAAAAGGGGAAACACTTAGGATGTTTCTCAGACGGAAGGCTGCATCCTCCGGAGGTCACATTTGTAGGCTGCATACGTCATCAAGAAGATATTATTTTAGAATATTAACAGTTATACTTTTCCCCATTATTCGTAGTTAAGTGTAAATTGTTGTAATATGCTTGTATGCAGTGTTGGGGAAAGTAACTTTTAAAAGTAATGCATTACAATAT